TCTGTTAGGCAAGTTATTCTAGGTTCATTTGGTGCAGTCTGAAAAACCCATTCTGCAGTCTTTTCTGCCAGCTTCCCAGCATGAAGAGCAGGCCTGAAACAGCCTCTATTTATACCCCCTTATTCGTTTTTGGAAGATCAGTTGTTTCATTGGAGAGAGGGGGAGAGAGAGAGAGAGAGAGAAGGACAGCACGAGCAGTCGTCAGGGAGTGTGCTTTGTACGTTATAGTGACTTCAAAATAAAACTGGCACATTTTAGTGTCTAATTATTTTTAGTGAGCTTGGAGGGTTTTAATTAAAATTTAAGAGTGCTCTTCAAGCTCTCCAAGCTCCAATTTTATCCCACTGTATTGTGGAGCTCTTGTCACTGTGGAAAAATGTACAGTAACTGGCATGTGCGTCTCTGTTTCCTAATGAAAAATGTGGGATGGATGAGCAGCAGGAGTATAAATACATATAGAGTCAGAACTAGTTGTAAAGCAAGGTCAAGGTACTTTTGATAAGTTATCATTGTTCTTGAATAATAGAAAATTTATTGCATTTGAAATGTATGATTCTTATGATAAAAATAAAAGGTATTGATTTAATATTCTCTTAAAATTAAGAGTTAATAAAGCAGGAGGAAATCTGCATACTGGGGCAGCAGTCATTGTTTTTCCTCCTAAAATATTTTAAAGATATTTTTCATGTCATGTTTCTAATGTTTTAGCATTTATAACTTTATCACTTTGAGGCAAAAGGAATAGTGTTTATTCACAGGTGAATTATTTTAAAGTACCTGTGTCCAAAAATGTTTCCCGTTATTCTTTCCTATTCCCCCATGCTTTAGTTTTATCAATGATTTATTTATTTACTATCTTTGACACATTTTAAATAACTTCACTTTGTGCAGAATAGGGGTTAATACTGCTGTGGCTTTAACTAGGAATAATTTAAAATTGTTCCTAAAATATTATCATACAGGTTAGGAAATAAATAACTCTCGCTTCAAATTTCTCTTGTACGGTGAAATTGTTAGCATGATAAAACATTCTTGACTCACCTGGCCTGAAACCTAGATACTTAGGAAGCAGAAACATTGCTTTGCAATCCATTATGCAGGATACTTATTAAAAATGATCTCTGAATTGTGTTTTTACTTTTTTCTTTAGAAAACGTTTCTTGGGACGCCTGGGTGGCTCAGTTGGTTAAACGACTGCCTTTGGCTCAGGTCATGATCCCAGGGTCCTGGGATCGAGTCCCACATTGGGCGCCCTGCTCATCAGGGAGCCTGCTTCTCCCTCTGACCATCTCCCCTGTCATGCTGTTTCTCTCTCTCTCAAATAAATAAATAAATAAAATCTTAAAAAAAAAAAAGAAAAAAGAAAACGTTTCTTAAAAAACTTAAATTGCAAAGGAAAAGAGAAAAACCAAAAACTATGTGGCTGAGAATTAATTTTAACATGTCAAAACCTTTTACATCCTTGATTAAAATATAAGCAAGAATTGAAGTCCAGCTCTTGATTTTTGAGTCTTGTTTTGATCACATTATTTACAAAAATTAGACAAGATAAATGTAATAAAGTCCTGCATTTCACTGAATATGTATTAGTTTAGGGACACTAACTCTTTCAAAGTAAGATGAATTAAAATTGGCATTTTCCACTTTTATGCTGAAATATAATGGCTTACCTTCTTTTTAATGTGTACATATCATGGTGACATTTTTTTTTTTTAAATCTCAGAATGTTGTGGTTCTTTCACTTAATTTCCAAAAAGTATGTAGTTCCTCTCCTATTTTTTTAGCTGAAGACAACTCAGTCAAAATACTAAAATTTGAATAATCAAACTCAGATAGTAAAATATGTATATATCGTTTCATGTTTTGAGAACTGCAGAACTACTGTAAGTATATTAGTTGTTTTCAAGTCAATTGTCTAAAACATATTTTTCTATATAAAATAATCCAAGAATATCTGAGTGATGTTCAGTCCTTTTATTCCATTTGGAATCCTCTGTGACTACTCAGTCCCATGTACATAATACAAACTGGGCTTCTTACCTTATTCTGACCTCTTTGGTTTTTGCATTTGTGCGTGATCAGAACGGGGTAAAGTCTGATCTGATCAGTTACCTATGTACGCTAGTGTCCTGTTAATGTAGTTGAAGGATGTGCCACACAGAGGATGAATACTTGCTTTTAATTTGCACCCTTAGCTGGATATTGTTGAGTGGGAAATCTGAAAATACAAATTTTCATTTACAACTTTCTGTCTTACATATTTCCTCATTCCAAGTCAGAAACCTGTCGGCAGCGGCAATAGTGTCCTTCACCTGTGTGGTACTTGTTAACAATCTGTGCCTTCTGCCCTTTTTCCCCTCATCTTACTTGTTTCACATTATAGTATGGAGCATGCTTAACACTAATTGTGGCATGCCCTTTGAGGTTTGGCAGTCAGATAATTAGGTGAGAAAGCTGAGAGTTTTTCAAGAGACTTCCTGAGTTTTGAATCTTCCTGGAATCTCTTAGAATTGAGATTAAATTGGTAAGGCTGTATGCAGTGACTTCTATTGTCCTGTAGTTAAAGGCAATCAGTGATTGTTATTAAATATTTTCATGAGTTATAAATATAGACAAGGAAAGCCTGCTTTATTTTTCTTCCCCTCAGTTTCTTCTACTGAAATGGGAACTCATATTAACTAGATTAACTCAGCATTATGGTGAGGATTAATTTTTTAATAGGAATGTGAAATGCTTTGATGTAATTAACCATTTTATTAATGAGTAGCTTTTATGTGAAGCTGTGTACACATGGTCTGATTTATGTTTGAAGTGTGTGTTCCTGTTGTCCATACAGTTCTATTTTTCTCCCATGAAGCTTCAGCATTCTTTTCCTGGAGCTCTGAAAGATTTCAGGTCTATTTATAGAAATGAGAGACATATTTTAGCCTGTTTTACATTTAGTGTGTATCTAATCCTAGTTTATGAACTTGCTCTGAATTTGTGATCATTACTAGTAAATTGGGCTTTTGTCTTTTACTATTATAATATATGCTCTCAACTCAAATTTGAACCAAACAAATTATGCTTTAGCATTTGTATCAGTGATTATCAGTTTAATGCAATGTTACAACATGTATGAAAGGGTTAAAAGAAAAAGCACTAACAAAACTGGGTAGGATAGGAACTTGAAGACATTTTGTTGATTATTCTTATCCATGATCTGCTGCTATATCGATCTCTCTTAGAAATTGAAACCCGATTTGGGAAAAACTAATCTCTGTTAGGCATGGCTTTGAGGATTTACTTAACTCCCAAATTAAGTCTTATCATTTTTATTACTTTAGCATAAAAGCAAAATATGTATAGAACAAAGTATATACCTTGTTTTTGAATTTAAAATAAAAGTAGCAAGAGACCATTTTGGAAATTAAATGCAAACTGATGTATGCATATGCACATAGGTTCTTTTGGAAGATCACTCGGTATCCAGTTTTTAATTATGGTAGTAGATCACTTGTTGAAGCCTAAAAAAGTAATTAATAGGAAAGAATAGAAGGAAAGGAGGAGGGAAAGATAGAGGGAAGAAGGAAGGGAACAGGCAGTGAGATTTCACTTAATAGAATCAAGCTGACTTCTATTTAGAAAGAACTTTAGCTTCTGTCATAGCGAGCTAGTATGGTTGGTGTTCTTCATCAGCCATTTCACCACGCACTGATCTGGATTCCATCCATTCCTTGATTGATTGATCATGTCATGGACAAATGTTAATTGTTTTCACCAATACTTTCTAACGAGGCAATGGTCTTCTCATCTCTTACCCAGGGCTTACTGTCTTTTTCTAAAGCTTATCTAGTTTCTAAAACCCTTTAGATCCATCTTGACCTTAATGTCATTCTGAAAAATTCAAGGAAGATTTAGAAGTTGGAGAAAAAAAATGAAAGGGAAAATGCTAAAGAGATAGGTACTGATATGGGAGAAGAAAGGCATTTGGAATTGGAGTAACTATTTTAAATATAATTTTAAAAAGAAGTTATCAGAATTTTGACACTTGGAATGTTAAAGTTTAATGGGAGTATGCTTTGTACCGAGGATTTAGTATTTAAATCTGCATTCCCTTTTGGAAGCATGGCCTATTTGTTAAGATTTGAAGCTTAACAGATATATATGAATAGTTGTAAGCAGTAGCTCTAGTTGCAAACCCATCTGAATAGAGACAAAAAAATAACTCATTGAGAAAAATTTGCTAATTATTAGGACATTCTAAAATTTAAATTTCTGTAATCTTTGTGAATCTTTATAGAAACAACTATAATTACTCTCTGTAATTTAGTATGTTACTTAGATATGCAATACGGCAAGTAGTGTTAACTTAGTATTTCCTTTATAAGACTATATATCCCTTTCTATATAAGAGAAAACTTTCAGTAGTTTTTATTACTGAGGGACAGAGAACATCTTGACTTTATTTTCTTTGAATTTTTCTCTAAATGGGTATTTTACAAAAATTGCCATATATTATTTCTTTTTTTAATGACTAAGTGTTTACACTTTGGTTTCTTCTCCCTTGAAGATTTGTCATTCTTCCTTGAAGAGCACATGCATTTTGCTTAGACTTAAAAAAAAATCACCTGGTTTAAAAGGAACAATATCTAAACTTAAACCTATCATAGGAAAGAGCCCCCTTTTCTGTCCTGTCAGTCTAAGAAATGATAAATGCGACTGAATATTAATAGAATTATATTTATAATACCAAGATAAAATTATTAAGCATTATCTTTTTTCCTGGGAATAGTTCAAATAATCTTCTGGTAAAAATAAATTTAGTTGTGGTATTTTGTGATAGATATGGTAATATAACTGTCTGTATCCTAGGGTTAAAACAACAATGAAAAATAGCTTTGATCATTTTTAAATGAGAGAGTTTCTCCATAATCTGGCTTTTTTGGATTTGTAATATTTTAATACTTAAAAAATACATATGTAATATTTTTAATACTTATTTTTTTTTACTCTAATAGATTCCTCCTGCATGGAAAAACTACTTTCAAAAGATTGGAAGGAAAAAATGGAAAGACTAAATACCAGTGAACTTCTTGGAGAAATTAAAGGTACACTATATGAAATATCAAACATGTCAGTGGAGAGAATGTTATTTTGTATAACAACATGCTTGCTGATCTCTGTACCCTAATATTAAATTCTTACCTCTAATATTTGTTTATATATGGAGGGTAAATGTATAGTGTGTCCTTGAACTTTTATTCTTTATAATGTTTAGAGAATGAAATTTTTCCTTCTCTTTTTATTAGTCTGTAAACATATAAATTATAAGATAAATTGCTTCATTAATTTACTTAACAGAAAGGTATGAAAAAGAAACAAATGTCAAAAGATGAAGAGCAAATTAAGTTAAAGATAATTTTAGTCTTTCCTCTTGAAATCATAATAATGTCTTAATTTATGAATCCAAATCATTAATTTGAATTTTTTCTGGTCAAAAAGGGTCAAGGGTAGCACCTATAAAAACAAGTTTATAGAATGTATTGTACATAATAGTTTATGGGTGGATTCTGAGGCTTGGTTACCTTTTTCGAGTCCTGGCTCTGTCACTTACTAGCTGAGTGACTTTGGGCAAGTCACTGAAGTTTTCTATGTTTCGAATTCCTTGTATCTAAAATGGGAGAGTGAGAGTTTCTACCTCATAGGCTCATTAAGAGGATTAATATAAGTAAAGCTTTTAGAACAATTCCTGGCACTTAGAAACACACATGAGGTTAAATTGTGGTCACTGTTTTTATTAAGATACCCATAGGATCATAGGTTGATTAATCGCAAGCAGATTTCATAGGATTTAACTTTTCATGACCTCTGACCTTGATGAGGATGAGCATCTTTAGTTCTGAAGATGTGTGATTGATGCTATTATTTTGAAGCATGTTAAGAACCATTACAAAATTAAGTTTCCTTATCAGTCAGGAAGTTCTTCTTCTTCCCTAAATCTCTCTTGTTGATGCTTTTGTGGAGAAGAGGTACTATATTACTAGTTTTGGTATCATGAGTATAATCCATGGTCTCTAATTCTATCAGTTGTCTCTTACAGAGAGACTCTTTTCACTCTGATTTGCACTAACAATTTGGGAATTTACATTAGTTTTCTGAAGTTACAAACAACGTCAGGTGAATCTTTCTATTGGTCATGGATAATGTATCATTTAAGATAAACATCTGGCAATTACTATTTGGTGAAAATGTTATTTTTAATTTATTGCAGAAAATTGTCTAGTGTTCAGGGATGTTGTGTTCAATTCAAATGAAGACAAAAGGGAGTCATCTCTTTCCCAGGAAATGATTAATAACTCAGTCCATTAACTAATATAGTATTAAAATTAAGTGGAAATTGGATATTATTTTAAATCTCACTGCTTCTGTGCTGTACTCATAAAGGCTATTTGCTATTTTGGGTGAAAAAAAACTTAACTTATAACTGACGGGTAGAAAGAAAGTCATTAGTGACATATTCTCTATCCAGCTGCAATAACATGTTGTGTGCTACTTTGCACGTCATTCTGTGTTTTCTATCCTTTCCAAAGTCATTGGTTTTACAACAGTGAGAACAGAAATGGTTTGTGCATAGGCAAGCTTTTGCCAGCATGAATGATGGGGGTCTTGCTTTTTCTTAGTAACGTGGAAGCTAACATTTTATTGTGTTATGATTCAGCATCAAGTTTTTATGCTTTGGGTTAACTCCTCCCCCTTGACCCCCTTTCCATCTTTCTTTATGTTTCATTCTGATTATGAATTTATAATGTGAAAACTGCACTAGCCTGAGATGGTCAAAATGTCTGAATCTTGAAAGCAAAAACACATACAAAATTAGGCTTTTCAAACTCTTTAACTTTTTTTCTGGATTCTTTATGTGATATGTGAACTTTGATTTGTGTGCTGCTCTCAGTTTTATAAGCATAGGACGTAAGGTTCTTACTAAAATTTTCATTTTGATTTACTCTACATAATTGTCTCTTTTTACAACCTAGTATTTTGTTACCATAAGTATTATACACAAAGCATGCCAATAATATAATAAGAACTGACATGAAATTTAGTTTAAGTTGATTCAACCACTGCTAAAACTTAACATGCATTTTTAGTCTCGGTGAGATCAGGCCAGTTAGTTATTATCCACCTAAATTAGTTATAATTATTCTGAAATTTTAGAGTGGTTTAAATACTATCCCCAAGAAATACATTCTATTGTGTGTTATCAGTATTTTATATCTCAAGCTCTGTGCATTTTTCATACCTCTTATTATTTTTCCCTCATTACATATCTAGTGTAAAAAATATAGAAATACAAAATAAAATTAATTATTTCTACCTATATTATGTTATTTGTCCTTTCCATTTTAATTAATACATGTATTTGTTAAATTTTTTTACCTTAAAATTAGAATCATCCTTTTACTATCCTTTTATAAGCTATTCTTCCCACTTAATGATATATTGTCAATTTCTCTGTGATTAAGTCATCTAAAATGCTATTTTTACTTACAGAAAATATTGCATAAACTGAGGTTCTCATAATTTAACTGAGTCTTTTATTCAACATTTGAAGTTTTTTATTATTTGTCATTATAAAGAAAAACTTGAATATGGATAACTTTTTAATAATTTTTGGTATTAATTAGTGGTTGTTTTCTTAGGATGTATTCCTAAGAAGTGAGATCCCTGGGTGAAAGCATGTGTTCTTTTTTAAAAAGTCTGGGTTCATACTGCCAAACTGCCCAGTAGAAAGGGTACAGTGTGCTGCTCTTACCAACAGTATCTGCAAGTATTCTCTTGCCCTCAATGACAAGTATTGTTACTTTAAAAATTTCTTGCTGGTTTTAGTAGAGGAAAAGGGTACACTACTGCTGATTTAACTTTCTTTGGTTATTATTGAGAATGAAGCATTTGACATAAATTTATTTGTATTAAATGTCTCTTCCTTTGTGAATTGCCTATTTATGTTGTTTGTCCATTTTTCTTATTAAAGGATTTGTCTAGTTCTTATGGTTTTGTAAGACTCTTACTCTATATTTTAATGGTATTAACCTTTATCTGTCATATATGTTACATTTTATCATTTTCTTTTACTTTATGGTTTTTGTTGTCAAATCTTTCCCTCCCTTTTAATGCTCTTTTATGTTGGGGGTTTGTTTAGAAAGGCTTCCCTAGCTTTGCTATATTTTGTTCCAATTCTTTGACTATATTTTTATTCATTTAACTCTTTAATTCGTCTTGAATATATTTTGATGTGTAATTTCAACTAGAGATACAACTTAATTTTTTTCTTAAGCCATTAACCAAATATCTCTGTATTATTTATTAAAAACCCATCTTATCTCTTCTGACTTGAAAAAACATCTTTTATCACACTGATTGCAAATTTGAAACCATTTCTCAGTTTTGGGTTCTAGCCTATTGATGTATCTAAACTTTCATTAGTATTGTACTATAGTATCTTTGAAAAGTAAATATTGTAAGATCAAATTCATAATTTTCTTTAAGGTGTTTGCATACTTCTCTAAAGTTTATTTTAGGCTTACTTTAACTTAATTGTCAATTAAAATCCCAAAATAATTTTTTGAAAGGTTATATGTATATGAAACTATAGGTGAATTGACATCTTTATAGTATTGAATCTTTTCATTCAAAATCATTTATTCTTTTATGTCCCTCAACAGTAATTTGTTTTTTAAATATAGATTCTGCATGTTTCTTTTGATGTTTTTGCTATAATATTTAATATTTTTGCTTGCTCTTGTGGATGAGATATTCTTCACTCAGTTTTCTTTTTGTTACCATATTTAGGGATGCTAGTGAATTTTGCTGGTTCATTTTATAACTTTCCTCTTTATTGAACTTATTAGCTCTAGTCATATTTCAGCAGATATGTTTTCTCTTTCTTGGCAGTTATATGCCCCTTTTTTTATCCCTTCTCATATTACACTGCCTAGAATATCAAGAATGATATTAAGTAATACACGTGATGGCAGGTATTTTGTGCAGTTTTTAATTTATGGAATTGTTTTTAACATTTCACCACTAAGTATTAAGATATTTAAGACATTCTTTATTATTAAAAAAACATTCTAGTCATAGTTTATTAGGAGTTTCTATGAAAAATTGCATTTTATCTTATGGCGTATCTTCTTGGTTTTTGTTTTCCAAATTTACTGATGAAATAAACCCTGATTAGTCATGGTGTAGTCTTATTTTAATGTACTGACTAATTGTATTTGCTCATATTACAGTTGTTATTTTTGCATCTGTAATCACAAATGAGATTAGTTTGTGTTTTTATTTGTACTATCTTTGTTAATTTTTAGTACCAGAGTTCATGGTTGAATTGGAAAGCTAGGCTACGTAAAGTATTGAATAGATAGCATGAGAATTACTTATTCCTTGAAATTCTGAAAGAATATAATCATAAAACATCTAGGCCTAGAGTTTTCTTTGGTAATATTTTTTTTTTCTTTTTACATTGCCTATTTCCCTTTAAGTCAGTTTTTCTAGGAAAAACATTTCCTAGAAAATTGTATGTTTCACTGAGATTTTCAAATATATTAATATTGACTTAAAGTACAGATCACTTATTTTAAGTTTTTTATTTGCTGTTATATATTCCATTTAAAAATTTGCATATTTGTTTTATGTCCCTTTTGTTCCTCAATTTTACTTGCCAGTGGTTTTTCTATTTATCTCTCCTCCCAACGCCCCAGTAAGTATCCAGTTTTGAGATTTATTTCTCAATTCTACTGCTTTTCAGAATGCCAACTACTTCATCTTGCTTTTACCTATATTATCTCTCCTTTGCTTATTTTCCTTATACTTTTTCTTTTGTTTCTGATACCCTTTAAGTTCCTAAATTGAATACTTAATTTTAAACATTGTTTCTTTAATAATAAAGGTACTTTTAGCCATGAATATATTTGTAGAAATGGCTTTATGCATCCCATAAATTTGAGCTTTTAGAATTCTCATAGTCATTATTTTCTAAATAGTCAATATTTGTATTGTTTTCTACCTGATCTTATATTTATATATTCTTAACTTTACATCTTTTGGA